CCTGAGTAGTTTGAGATGTAAACCGAGCCATAAAGTAGCCAATTGAACAAAAAGAATTTTGAGGTCAGGAAAGAGATCAAGGCAGAAAATACAATTCTGGGTGCCACCAGTCCAGTGATGGTAGTTTTTAGAAAAAGGTTTGAATCATCCAGGGAGAGAATTTAAATAGAGAAGAGGGCCAAGAACAACATTGGGCACTCTTAGGGCACATTCAGAGACTGGATAGAAGAAGAGGAGCCCTCTGTCATAACCTGGCATTTCAAGGGATGATGCTTGGGAAAAAGTATAGACCAAGTCATGGAGAACCAAGTATGACAGCTCACTCAGAGCTTTGTCCACACTTCATTGATTTAGTCACTTTCTGCACTGGACTCTCCTCCAGCCATGATGAATTCTTGTTATCTGAACATGTCCATTACTTTATGTCTCTGATTCTTTGTTCAGATTGTACTTTTTCTAAGAAGCCTTTCTGACAACTCCCTCTGCTATCTTATCACTGCTACTACTGTGTTTCCACAGCATGTTGCACATGCCAGTGTGATATCACTTACCACATTTTAACTGCTTTTAGTTCTTTGTCTTCTATCAGACTATGAACTCCTTAAGAGCCAGGATCATGTCATTCATCCTCATATTCAGCACTTGCACACCCTACATTTTTTATTGTTTTTAGGTGCTGTCAAGTTGATTCTGATTCTGATTCATAGTGACACCATGTGATAGAGTAAAACTGCCCATAGGGTTTTCCTGACTGTAATCTTTAACAAAGCAGATCTCCAGGTCTTTTCTCCTGCAGAGCCACTAGGTAGGTTTGAACTGCCAACCTTCTTGTTAGCAGCTAAGTGTTTAACCATTGTACCATCAAGGCTCATTTGCACACCACATAGGAATTCTCAATAAATATCTATTGAATGAGCGATTGAAACAGTTCTACAGAACTGGTATCTAATCAGATCTGTAATTTCTCTCCCAACAAAGATTTCAGGGAAAAGGATGACTATTATCTATGAAGCAAAACTAGATAAGGAAGGTGTGGTTTCTAGAGAGGTATCACTAAATCAACACTAATAATGAATGAATAAAAGAACAAAAAGTACCTTGTTGAACACTTACTATATGCTAGACACTGCTCATAATTTATATGTCATTTATAAACTAATTCACAAATTGGAATTGTAGGATTTCTGACTTTAATACTATCTGGACAAAGCATTTATATTTCTTTTTCCTCAGTTTTAGAATTCATAATCTTTTTGAAGGTAAGACCTTCAAAATTTAAAATTCTTGTTTCCTTTGTACTCCTTAGCACTTGGTTTTCCACTAAATGCCAAATAATTATTTATTATCTTAAATTAATAAAGCTATCTCTTGCATATACAAAAATCTCAGTCACTTTTCAAATAAAGAATTTCTAATGCTAACCATAATTGTACTCATGAGGAACCTGTACATAGATCAGGAGGCTATCATTTGAACTGAATAAGGGGACACTGCATGGGTTTAAATCAAGAAGGGAGTGTGTCAGAGTTGTATCCTTTCACCATACTTATTCAGTCTGTACACTGAGCAAATAATCCAAGAAGCTAGACTATATGAAGAAGAACATGGCATCAGTAATGGAGAAAGAATCATCAACAACCTGTGATACACTGACGACACAACTTTCCTTGCTGAAAGTGAGGATGACTTAAAGCATTTACTAATGAAGATTGAAGAATACAGTCTGTAGTATGGATTACACCTCAATATAAATAAATAAAAATCCTCACAACTGTACCAATAAGCAGCATCATGATAAATGGAGAAAAGATTGAAGTTGTCAAAGACTTCATATTACTTGGTCCCACAATCAACACCAGTGGAAGCAGCAGTCAAGATATCAGATGATGTATGTTGTTCTTGTTGTTATGTGCCATCAAATCAGACCCAACTCATAGCGACCCCTCGTTGGGTTGCTTAGGCAGTATCACTACGGAAGTAGATTGCCCCACCTTCCTTCCGAGGAGTGGCTGGTGGATTTGAACCTCCTGCCTTCTGGTTAGCAGTGAAGTGCCTTAGGCATGTATAGCACTGGGCAAATTGGCTGCAAAAGACCTCTTTTAAGTGCTGAAGAGCAAAGATGTCTCCTTGAGGATGAAGGTGCACCTGACACAAGCCATGGTATTTTCAATCGCCTCATACGCATGTGTGACCTGGACAATGAATAAAGAAGACAGAAGAGTTGATGCTTTTGAGTTGTGGTGCTTCCAAAGAATGCTGAATGTACCATGGACTGCTAAAACATCTAACAAATCTGTCCTGGAAGAAGTGCAGCCATAGTGCTCCTTGGAAACGAAAATGGCCAGACTTCATCTCACCTACTTTGGTCATGTTGTCAGAAGGGACCTTTCCCTGGAGAAGGATATCATGCTTGGTAAAGGGGAGGGTCAATGAAAGAGGGGAAGGCCCTCAACAAGATGGATTGACACAGTGGCTACAACAATGGGCTTAGGTATAGCAAGGATCATGGAGCTGGCACAGGACTGGGCAGTGTTTTGTTCTGCTGTACATAGGGTCACTGTGAGTCAGAGATGACTCTATGGCACCTAACAACAACATAAACAACAACAGTGTTTTCAATGGTTCATTTTGTAGAAGTGGATCACCAGGCTTCTCTTCCAAGGTGCCTCTGGATGGACTCAAACCTCCAACCTTTCAGTTAGCAGCTGAGTGCATTAACTGTTTGCACCACCCAGAACTCCAACCTGTCAAGATACTGCCCCACAAAACTTTTGCTTTCCCATAACAAAGATTGGAAAATGATAGGTATCTTTCTGCATCTTCACAGTCTAAATACCATAGTTCTCCAAACTGAGTTCTCTGAAACTTCTGCAAGATGTTAATAGGTTTTCTGAAAGGGAGGGTGGGGAAGTTCCATGATATCAACCAAATACGTAGATAATGTTATTGGTGACTTGTACATACAGTCATTACAGGTTTTGAGAAACTCTACAGTAAAGACAGCTGTTTATATCCGTATTTCTAAACTTTTTTGAACATAGACTCTGTCTCTTTCTATTATCTGTACCAAAGGAAAAAAAAAATCACTATTTAAGAGAATATAAAAGATAAGTAGCTATATAATGGCCATGAATCCTTTCTGAAGCAATCCTTCAAAAAAACAAAACCTGATTTAAATTGAAAACACTATGAAGCACAATTGTCCCTTGACACAGATGAGGTCACCATGAGTTGGAATCGACTGAATAGAAACTGTTTTTGTTTTTTAATTTGTTCAAGTTAAAACAAAAGCTGATAAGGGTGCTTTCTCTTTTTAATATCTGATTATTTAAGTCTGAGCAAAAAGTCCTAATTTAACAGAGAATGGTGCTCCATATCACTCTCATTGTTGGAATTTTCACATTTCTTTGGCCCAAGATAGGAAGTCTTCAAATTCTATACCCTCTGGCTTTAAGGACCATCTACGTTACAACCTTACTGGATCTCTTACAGTTCCATAGCATATATCCCACCTTCTAGGCAAACTAGACCCATCATTGTTTTCTGAACATGCCATCTTCTTTTTTCTCTTCCTCTTTCATTTGTCTAGCATATGCACCCATTCATCTCCCTATGCTAAAACTGGACCATGTATTTAATAAGTATTTATTAAAGTTCACTCCATGCAAGGAACTAATTATGCTTGTAATTTTAGAAAAAAGATACTCATAGAATATCTTATGTGTCTCCTGGTTGAACACAAACATTCTCTCAACTGTCTTAGAATATTTTATAAAACCCCCCCCAGAACAACAGTTTTCTTACCTTCATATTTTAAAAATTAACTGTGTGCTTGCTTCTTACCTACTAAAGGACTAAGAATATTGCAAGCAGGAGCTATACCTTAATTGCAAACCTGGAGAGCCAGGTAGAGTTGAGTGCATAGGCACCCCTATGGAGATTAATAGAGGGGCAATAATCCTCCTCTAACCAAAGATGTCCACTTCTGACTCCTCAGGAATTTGACATGTGTTGAAAAACAAGATTTCCCAGATAACACCTATCCATATCTCCCCTGCAGAATGGACTTGCTTTAGGACAAGCCTCATCCAGAGTCAGAGAAGACCCTACTTTCACCTACTCACTCCTAATAATGTTGGGTAGTAAAGGTGAATGAGCAGAGTCGATTGATGTAATTAAACTGACAATGTTTTTAATTTTATGAAACAAATATAGTCAAAACCAAATTAAAAGCTAAGTTTCTGTTTCAAAGAATTTTCAAACTACAATCACTTTACTTGAAATATCATTAAAAAGTTTTAATTGGACTGAAAGGCCTTGACCATCCTGGAGTAGCAGAAAGATTGGTCTCAATTCCTTTTATAATTTATCTTATATTAGATAAGACATGAATGCCATGTTAGGAAGGTTTCATGCACCTATACTTAGAGAGAACTCTCATTGTTGATATAGAGGATATAATGTATCTTATCCTCTTTTTCCTAGTGTTTTGTTTCTTGAACCTTCTGAAATAAATGATTGAAAAACAATAAGGAAATAAAAGAATAAGCAGAGAAGAGGTAGAAGAAGAATATAATTTAAAAAAAAAAAAAAAACCAGATGATTCCTCATCTCTTTTTGTTCTGTGTTTGCTGGTCATTTCTTACTGCTTTGTACCTAGGAGGAGTGAGAATTTGAACACGAAGGAACAAGATGAATGAAAATTGAAAACTTTTCTGACAGGGACTGTCTTAATCATTTAATAACTATAGGACTGTAAGAACCAAAGTTGGATACCAATCCACCATGTTACATAATCAACATTGGTTTAGTTCTTTGTACCAGACATTTTATCTTCTCATGAGGAAAGTGGTAAAGGAAAAAAGACAAGAAATGACTTAATTTGGCATGCAAAAATATTTTATTTGCTGTCAGAGTCAATATTTAACCTATGCTGGTAAGCTTGTATGACAATCACTTTATGCCTCTTTTAATCCTTTCTTTAAAACTTCTCTTTATAGGAAAAGATAAGATTAAAGTATCTGAGGATGACCTGAAGAAACTCCTTCTGATTAAATGGTGTGTTTTAGAAGCCATTCGTTTAAGAGCCCCTGGTGTCATTACTAGAAAAGTGGTGAAGCCTGTTAAAATTTTGGTGAGCTTTGATTTAGTTTTAAAATAATCAGCCTTCTAGAAAAAAAAAAAAAAAAAGTACATATTTTGCCCACACATTACTAGACAATGCTTCATGTTCCATTAAGCACTAAGTGACCCTGGAGAGGTTATGAAAAAGAGCTGTGCAGCAAATTAACATTTCATTAATATGCTGATGGGTATTTGGGCTAAAATGTGACCCTTTGATCACCATCTTGGCTGTATGATTCCGTATCAGGATTAGTTTAATCCTTTTTGATTCAAGCCAATGGATTGGATAGTCTCTTCTCCGACGAATAATCAACAAGGGTTCCCGAGGAGCAACAAGCTGAGGAATTCAGAGTGTAAAGTTCTTAATAGAAGGTATTTGGATAAATAGTAGGCAGTTTCAGGCCACAGATCACAGATTTGGAACAGACAGCAGAAATGCCATGGATAATCTCTACTGATACTAGGGTCAGTGGCTGCGTGAGGGAGAGAGGTGTTTTCTACGAGCAAAGTAGGAGAAAAGTCTCAAGTGTACCATGGAAAGTATGTGCACATGGCCGACTTACAGGTCAATACTTGGTGACTCAATCAGTCAGAAGAAAAAGGGTTTTTTGTTTTTGTTTTGTTTTTTTCAGAAAGACTTGACTTTGAGCTTACATTATTGAGATAGAGTGCATTTTCATTCACTCTTTTATACACAGACTGAGAGTACTTGGATTCAAACCAAGAACGTTTTGCAGTGGTTGAAGACGAGACAAAAATCCAGCTTGTCAGAGTTGCAACTTGCTAAATGCAAAGGAGACATAGTTTATTTAACTACTCTTACATAAATTATAGCATTTAGTTCTAGTAGTATTTTGGCAGTTTTTGATTTTAAGTAATATTACTTAATCGAAGCTATACATGTAGAAGAATATGCCTTGATAGGAGTTGGCCAAATGACTTGGTGCAGTTAACTAGAACAATATGCTTATTACCCTGAACACTAGTGTAACTCTTTTTGAACATTTATTATATATCAGTTATATGCTGGTTAGTAGATAATTAGCTGAATTACAGGCTAATGATTTATTTCTTGGTCAATATCTTGGTTGTTGTTTTTACTATAAAGATCTTACACATATTCTGTTAGGTTTATTTAAACCAACATACATCATTTATTTTGCAGCTATCCTGAATGGTATTTCTTAAAGTTTTGGTCTCTATTTGTGCATTGCTTGTTTATGGAAATGCAAATGATTTTTGTGTGCTGACCTTGTGTATGCAACTTTGTTAAACTCAGCTATGAATTCCCTATAAAACTGTATTTTTAATTAAAAATAATAGATATCCCAAACAATTTAAGATTATATGCCTATATATATATATATATATATATATATATATATATATAGTCTCCGCTTCTTCACATCATACTTTCTTCCTAGAGGACGTGAGGCTCAGATATATCTATGCTCCTTTCAAAGCTGGCTGTGGCTTTCTCTGTAGGAGAACAGCTCCAGCACATGTGCTCCGACTACTGTCTTCTAAGAATGTCTCAGCATTTTTGTTTATTATTTTTCACAATGTCTTTTTAATATCTGTGAAAGTTTCAGTGTTTCTTGTGCTTACTACTTATTTTCTAAATAAAACGAACACAGCCTTTCCTTTTAAGAGGCCAAAACTAATCACTGTAACTTCCTAGCTGCAAAAATGAGACATTAACTTTAAAAATGATACCTTGTACAACGTTACCTTCTTATTAAATAGGTAAAACATGGAGATGAGGGGAAAAAAGAAGACCATAAAAGGAAGTAAAGAGTAAACATTTGCTTAAAATTTCGTAACTCAGGGATAACTGTGAATATTTTAGTATTATAATTTTAATTGTTTTTCCTCTAGTGTGTACATTTTAGAAAAATTCAATTGACATCATGTTATGCTATTTCATAATATACTGTGATTTAATTTAATAATAGATCATGAATAGTTTTCTGTGTCAGTAAAATATGTCTTTACCATTTTCAACTCCAACACAGTGATCTAATATATGAATGTACTATTAATTTTTAAATCAATTCCCTATTTGTGAATATGTATGTTACTTCTAGTTTTTTACTATTATAAAGATTGCCAGTATGAACATCTTTATAGCTAAATCATTATGTACCTTTGTAATTGTTTTCTTAGTATAAATTCATAGAACTTGGTCCTGTTAAGCCTGATATATTTTTTAAAACAAATGGAATATCTTTGCTAAACTAAAGCCTACAGTTATGTTACCAGGAAATTGGATTATAAAAAACATTTTACATAGGATCATCTATATTGAATAGTGACAGAGGCCCATATTCTCTCCCCCATTGGACAACTGATCAAGATTTCTTGCAATGAATGCTAGAAGTGTTCTCCCACTGCCCTACCCTCATATAGTCTGAACAGTTTTGGCATAAAGTTAATTTGCAAGAATATCCAGAAAAAACAAAGAAATGTTAAAAAAGAAGAATAATGAGGGAATATTAATTATCTTCTCAATGTATTAAACTTCTCAGTGTATAAAACTACAACAATTAAAACAATATGATTCTGGTGTCAAACCAGACACATAGGTCAATAGAATAGACTGGATAGGTAGCAAAGAAACAAACTCCTTTGTACCTAAGAATTTAATACAGGATAAATGAAGCATTATGAATCAATGAAAAGGCAAGAGATTAATATATGGTTTGGGATGAATGACTAAATGTGAGTATTTTTTAAGCCTCTAGAGTAGTGGTTCTCAACTATTTTGGTCCCAGTATCCCTTTGATACTTCACAGTTATTGAAGACCACAAAGGGCTTTAGTCTGTTATATCTATCAATATTTACAGTATTAGAAATTAAAAATTTAGAATTGTTAAAACATTTGTTTAGTAGTTTGTTCAAAACTAACAAGAAACATATTACATATTAACATAAATAGCATAATTTTCTGAAGATAACTATATTTTCCAAAATAAAAACAATGAAAAATAGCATTATTTTATATTCTTACAAAGCTATTTAATGACTTTCTTAGTAGAAGATATTTGGATTCACATGTATGCATTTGCAATCAATCTGTTGTGATATGTTGATTCCATTGGAGGACTGGAAGAAAATTCACCCTCATATGTAGTGTATAGTTGGAAAAGGGAGGAGTATTTTATTTAATAGCCTTTTCAGATATTTGTGGATATTCTTTGATACTATGCTAAAACTCAACAAGTGATGATTTCCAAAAGATTTGTTACAATGTGAAACCTAAAAATGTATCAATGAATACTTTATACTGTTCCATTAAAATTAATTGGTCTGTGGTATACTTTGGATTTTTGACCTTATGAACTCTGAAAAAGATTTAAAATCAAACCAAACTCACTGCCATCGAGTCAATCCCGACTCATAGTGACCCCTCCTTGGGTTTCCAAGGTGGTATCTCTATGGAAATAGATTGCCCAATCGTTCTTCCAAGGAGTGGTTGGTGGGTTTGAACTGCCAAACTTCTGGTTAGCAGTCAAATGCCTTAGGCACTACGCCACTCCTGCTACTGTAGAGAGAAAACAGCTGCGTATGTTCAGAATAAGGAGCTATGGTAGCATTGTGGTTAAGGCATGTGTTTGGCTGCTAACCAAAAGGTTGGCAGTTCAAACCCACCAGCTGCTCTGTAGGAGAAAGATGAGGCAGTCTGCTTCCATAGAGATTTACAGCCTTGGAAACCCTATGGGGTAGTTCTACAGTGTCCTACAGAGTTACTATGAGTTGGAATCAACTTGACAGAAATGGGTTTTACCAAATATATGTGCATATATAACTAATAATCAGAATTAGAAAGCAGTCATTATCTAAACTGGAAAGTAGAAATGACCCGTCCAGGAAAGAGTTGGATTTTTCACCATCAATTATAAAATGTATATATCTTCACCACAGTTTAGTAGCATTATTTTTAATGACCCAAACTCTCTTCAAATAAGATTTTTGAAAAATGGTTTGAAACCTGTTTTCTCTCTTAGAATTACACTGTTCCTTCTGGTGACTTGTTGATGTTGTCTCCCTTTTGGCTACATAGAAATCCAAAATACTTTCCTGAACCTGAATCGTTTAAACCTGTAAGTTATCTCTTTTAACATATTTTGTCCTTTTATTTTAATGAATTCTTATGCAGCAAGTATGAATTGATAAATTGACTAGGACTATATCATTGAGCAACAGTATTTCTCTGGTAACTAAGAACCAAGTTGGTTACAAAACACAGTTTAGATTACTCATATAGAAAACTCTCTGGAATAAGCTTCCCCAACTTTAGAATAAATTTTCACCCACAACTAGGAAGACATGTTAAAGTAAACATGCCTAGTTCTAATAGGAGACTTATTTCATGTTCTGCAGGCAATTGCTTCTGTTATTGGTTTCCAAGGGGTATGAAAAATAAAGCAAATTAAAATTGTGCTCTGCTATTTCATAGAACTGTGGAGTTACAGGACTGAACAGAATCTCAAGAGGTCATTTAGTCTGTTCTCTGCCTTTAGGTAAAATTGTCAGAAATGGCATCCAGATGTGTTCACTCTGCATCCCAAGGTTTCTCCAGCAAACAGGCCTGTCAGTGTCTTATTACGAAACTTATTACCCAGGGCAATTTTATGATGAAGCCTGAGACCTTTTTATAAATATTCTTCCACTTCAGAGGACAATTCTGTGGTTGATTTACGTTATCATTTACCTTTACCACTTAACAAAGTTCTTTTTAAGCCTTTTTATTTATATGTACATGTTCCAAAAACTAATTGTGTCTGATATTAATAACAGGTTGGGGGGGAAAAAACTTATCAACAACTCTGCAACTTTATATGCAAGGATTAGCTGTACAAGGTCATTTTTAGCCTAGAGAAATAAAGTTAAGCTTATTTATATAAGGCTGATTTGAAAAAAAAAAAAAAATGCTTTCTTCCCACAGGAACGCTGGAAAAAGGCAAATTTAGAGAAGCATGCTTTCTTGGACAGCTTCTTGGCATTTGGAAGCGGGAAGTACCAGTGTCCCGGAAGGTCAGTGAGACAGCTGGGCCACATTTATCCGGAGAGTCTGCAGAAAGGTGGATGGCTCAGAGGGGGAGGTTTTGGCTTCATCTGCCTTTTTCTTTATCATCAAACTACAGGGATATCTAGGAGAGCATGTTTTGTTTGGTTGGTCAAAGCATGTGATGTCTTCGTGGGAATGTCTAAAGTGGCTTTTGATACACATTGTGAGAGGAAAATATTGTATTTGTAGCTGCCAGATGAAAACTGGATTATGGTTCAAATGTTCAGCTTTCATATATGGGAAATTAGAAGTGGTTGAGTTCCACCCTTTTTAAAATAAAAATTGTTATTGTTGTTAGGTGCAATCAAGTTGATTGCAACTGATAGTGGCCTCATGTGGCAGAGTAGAACTGCTCTATAGGGTCTTCTCCTCGGAAGGAAGGTTGGGCAATCCTACTTCCGTAGTGATACCTTCTCAGAAACCCAAGGAGGGGTCGCTATGAGTCGGGTTTGACTCGACGGCACATAACAACAACAACATAGTGTCTTCTAAGTCTTTTTCCTGTAGAGTCTCTGGGTAGGTTTGAACTGCTAACATTTTTGGCTAGCAGCTGAGCTCCTGACTGTTGCCCCACCAGGAGCTGCTTAACATTTAAATAAATAAATAAATATGGAAGTATAATATTTCTTTAAATATGGCATTATCATGGATAGTAGCTAGAGTTAGAAAACTTCTTTAGTTTTTTTTTTTTTTTTGTAAATGATTTCATTCAATACCTTGTGTAGGTAAGTTTATTTTTATTGCACATGTCCATTATTAAAGTTATTTTCTATTTATTTATTTAGGTAGCAAATGTTTTTAAAGATCTAGACTGTGGCAGGCCCTATTCTAAACCCTGGAGATAGGGTACTGATGAAGACAGACATTGTTTCTGACTTGGAAGAACTTAGAACTTACAGTCTATATTAAATATGTCTCAAGAACTTACAGTCTATATTAAATGTCTCATTGCGTCATAATTTATAATTCTGTTGGAGAAATGTTGGTACTATTTGTACAAAATCCTACTCAATGATTGTATAAATACTTTTAACATCTTATAACTGAAATTTTCTAGTTTCTTGATTGAAGAGGTTAATTGTCCTCAATGGTTGAACAGTAATGAGAATTCATATTTGTGATTATGATTTACTGTACAGCATCCATTCTGTCTCTCTCTTGATTTATACCAATATGTTGCTAGTGATTTATACCTCTTCCCTCATGTTATTTATAATTATTCTAAGCCAATCATGGGAATTCTATCCCCCTTTTTATAATTATTCCAGAAACCTAAGCCTAAGCAAATTGATATCTAGTGTTTCCCTGGAGACAATTATTTGTTCTGAGGTAGGCAGTTGACCTAAACTGGCCAATCAAATTGAAGTAAGAGAATTTTCTCCCAGAGTTAGGAAACAGACCTCTGTCATCCTCTTCCATTAGATGTGAACATGGAAGTATGTAGCCCCAGCTGTTACTACCAGCAAGTCCCAGAAGGACAAGCCTTAGGATAATGCAGTCTGTGGACTGCAGAGCAGGGGTTTGGGAAAAAACAGTTCTATGTGATAGTAAAGTCACTGAATTCATTAGTCCAGAAGAGCTCATCTACTTCCTGCTATGTTAGATAATAAATGTCATTTTTTTCTTAGGTGGTTTAGGTTTGGAGTATTGTTTAGACCTGAAAACATGCTATACCCACCAAAAAAACACCAAAATTTTACATTGTAATTGTCAGATAGTCTAGGGGTATAACATACAAACAATAACAACAAACTTCATCCTGCATTTATATTATTTTTTCTTTAGAGAAGCAGTTCATAAAGCAGTTCTAAAAGCAACAAAAACATTACTTCTTTCCAATTCCCTTGCCATACGTTTACAACAGCAACTCAAGAGTTTATTATACCATTATCGAAAGTGACTGAGAAGTATTTTAAATCAAGGACTGAAATGCTTTGCAATGCAGCATGTAGTGTGGGCCAGTGGTCAAGAAATAATTGATGACTGTTGTTTCTAAGAGAGACTGAGTTTCATAGTAAACGATATAACAGAGGGGGACAATTCCCAAGATAAACCTGTCTTGGAAGATGTACAGCCAGACTCCTTAGATAGGAGGTTGGGGAGACTTCATCTCACATACTTTGGACATGTTATCATGAGGGACCAGTCCCTGGAGAAGGACATCATACTTGATAAAGTAAAGGGTCTGTGAAAAAGAGGAAGACCCTCAATGAGATAGACTGACACAGCAGCTGTAACAATGGGGTCAAACATAGCAATGATTATGAGAATAGTGCAGGACCAAGCAGTGTTTCATTTTGTTGTGCATGAGTCATTAGTTGTAACTCACTTAATAGCACCTAATAAAAACAACATGAAAGTTCAACTCAAAGAGTAGTATCTTATTTATACAGAAAAAAAAAAAAAAAAAACCTTACTGCCATCTAGTTGATTTTGACTCATAGCGACCCACTTTGAGTTTCTGAGGCAGTAAATCTTTATGGACGTAGATTGACCAATCGTCCTTCCACGGAGTGGCTGGTGGGTTTGAACAGTGGGTTTGAACCACCAACTTTCTGGTTAGCACTCAAATGCCTTAGGCACTATGCCACCAGAGCTCCTTATTTTATACAGAAACTACATATTTTTATGATTCACTGTGCTCTTGTTATATGCAAAGGATGGGTAAGACATGTTCTCAGCCCTCAAGAGATGATAATTTGGTAAGATCAAGCAGAAGTCACCAGGTTCATTAGTAAACACAAAGAATCCAGAATAAAAGATGCCCAAGCACCACATTGTGGAGATTCAAGAGAGAAGGTACATCTAGTCAAGGTGATCTTAGAAAATTTCCTGGGGAAAGTGGCTATTGAAGAGCTGGACAGTTTTCTGGGCTGAGGAAACAGAATGAGCAAAAGCACATTAAACACAGAGCTCTGTAGGTTAGGTATTTATTGTTTTACTATTATTAGGACCAGATTACAGGTAAAGGAGCTGAAGGAAATAAGGCTGAAAAGGTACATTGGCCAAATTGGTAAGGCTCCTTCATTCTTGGTTTAGGTGTTTTTACTTAGCAATCTAGGCACTAAGGAAGTGTTCAGAGTTTTTCAGTAAGGGAACGATAGCAGAGTAATCAGTGGTGGATAGAGTGGTTAGAGTAGGACATGACTTACATGGTCACGATAGTATTCCATGTGAAAGATATGAAATAGTAGAGCTTACCAGATTTGGAAAATAAGTGAGAATCAGTGGAGAAGAAAGATTTGAGGTAAACTGTAGCTTTGAATCTTGGTGGCTAGAATAGATGGTAGAAATAGGGAAATCAGGTAAACAAGATACTAAATTTTCCTTGGAAGTGTATCAAATATTTATCATAAAACCACACATCATGAATAAATACAACAATAAAAAAAACTCTCTAAGTATAATTTTCCATTAAGTTTCTGTTTTTAAAAGTCCTTAATTCTGGCTTTCTCTTCATTTAAACAACCAACCCATAAAATGTTTTGTTTTTAAAGACAGACAGAAACAAACATAATGACTTCATTTGGACTATGTATACCAAGATAGATCTTTCCACTAGTAATTTAATTCCACAAACCCTAAGTATAATTCCCAGAAAATTGCACTCATTCTTAGCTTGTGTACCAGGAGCCAATTTATTTTCTCATGTACCAAATACTCAGTGAGTCAGAGAAAGTTGCTTGTAATGTCACTGATGATCAAAGTTTGCCATGAACACATATTCTTGTGTTCTTGCAGCTGTCACCTCTTGGAGTTCAGGCCACCAAGGCAGTGTGAGAGTCCTTCTCACAAGTGAACACAGAAGATTTTGCTGAGTTTATTAAATAAGTGCTCATTGATGCCACGGGCTGCTGACCAAAGATCAGAATGGAAGAGCTATAGTTCCTCCTCTTAATAATTGTGGGAGTTCTGAAAATAGGCTTAGAGAAAGAACCTTTTACTTGGCATGTCCCTGTAGCAGGGAAGATCCTGGGAACACATAGGAAGGAAAATCTCACCAGGAATTCTACAGCTGAAAAAGTCTGGTGGCTTTTCAGAAAAACAAACAGGAAGAAGCAACAAGAACCACCAAACTTCTTCAGCAATGTTGCTGTTATGTGCTGTGGAGTCAGGCCTGACTCATAACGACCCCTCCTTGGATTTCTGAGGCAGTATCACTACAGAAGTATATTGCCCAAACTTCCTTCTGAGGAGTGGCTGGTGGGTTTGAACCTCCAGCCTTCTGATTAGCAGTCAAGTGCCTTAGGTACTATGGCACCAGAGCTCCTAAATAGTAGTGTGCAAAGTGAAGTGTTTACTGTGGAAATGCACTCTTAAACTATGAGATTTAAATAGAGGAACAAGATGGAATGTCCAGTGTTAGAATAACTTCTCTGAGTGTCTGAGAGTTGATGATTGTTGCACAAAAGGATGTGCTATCCCAATAAAGTTGATTTTCCTTGGTTCCCACCTCCTGCAAGAGGAGGCCTGGTTGGCTGTGTCATTATGCTGATTGGAATGGGTTAAATTCTATTGTACAATAATAGCCCTTATTTCTAGCAACATTAACACTCTTAGAAAATCATGCTTGAGTAAGAAGAAGGAGTCCTAAGAATAAAGTTGTAGTACTTGAGAAATGGAAATGAAGCATGAATTCCTGGGGAACAGAAACTGTGATTTCTACTTTTATTTTCCATGATTGAGTCCTTCATATATCCCAGGGTGGTGTTAGACCTCAAAGTAATGAACTTGTCTCAGAGAACTAATGAGAATAACATAGGTTTTGGAAATTAATTTAAAGCATAAGTAGAGTTGATGATAGATTAGTTAGTTAATTTTTTTATTATTACAGCTAACTAACATCTCTTGAGCACCTAGTATCAGTATGGCCATTCTTTCATGAAATAAATATTTATTGAAGGCATAATATGTGTCACTCAGGGCTCTAGGAATTAGTTACCTTGGGAAGCAAATCTGATGAACA